GAGAGAGAGAGAGAGAGAGAGAGAGAGAGAGAGAGAGAGAGAGAGAGAGAGAGAGAGAGAGATTGACGACACTCGGGATCTGGACTCGACATTGGGCAGAGACATTGGGGGGACTGTTTGGGATTGATATCAGCGACATTGGGGTTGACGACATTCTCATCTCTTCCCCCTTCTTCGTCTCTTCCCCCTCCTCCTCATCTGTGTATGAGTTAGGCCTGGCACCTTCGTCCTGGTGTGCAGTGCAAGGCCATTCACACCGTGTGATGATGATGATGATGTATGTCCAGTCTGCATTTCGACATTGATTGGGTCTGATCATTTGTATTCCAGTCTTCCGCTGTGCTGTTCTGCTCTATCTGTGAGAGGTTGGTTCTTGGTTCTGGTCTGTACCATCTCGGTATGCGACACTCACCGAACTACGTTTCTTCTTTTTAATAGTTTTTTTGTTATGTTTAATATTCTTGGTTACAACTTACAAAACATGTCAGCAATTTGTGAGCAAACGTGTGGTCCCAAACTTTTTTATGTGTTGTTCTTTCTGCTGATGGTCTGCTGCATTTGCAGGAAAGAGTAGGAGCGCTGCTCGTGAAGAAGGAGACGGATGAACTGAAAAGGGTTGGCGAATTTGCCGATCAGCTGCATAAGAAGCATTACCGGTGAGTAGCAGCTGAAGACGAGCAAAGCTCTTTTTTGGGGGGCTGTGTTTTCTTTGCTCTTCTTTCTCTCTTCCAGTGTAAAATTTGAAAAAAAAAAGAAAAAAAAGCGTTTTTTTTTTGTGTGCCCGGGGTACCTGGGGCTTGATCCATACCGGGCGGGAGGTCCCGGGAAAGCTAGAGTTGTGGATTTTTTATTTTATTTTATTTTCTTAAAGTGTTTTCCTTTCCTGTTATGAACTTGTAAGGAATGGATTTGTGGATGTCGATTGGAATTGTGGATGGATGGTGGTTGCGGACGTACACACACAGAGGTGTCAATGTGTTTTCGGCTAGGCTTCATTTCCGTGCGCACGGGTACCCCCGGCACGCACGGATTGTTGCACGGCCGCACGGCCGTGCGGGTCCCCCGTACGGACCCCGTGTGGCCCCAGCGCGGTGTGTTTGGGGGCCAGTTCTGGGGACGGCGGGCCCAGTTCCAGCACCTCGCGAATTTTTTAAGGCACCCCCACACGTCGAAAATTTTTTTCGGCGCGCGGGTGGGCCTTAAAAAATTCGATCTTGGACTCCAGATCTCAGCCGTAGATCTTCGAAGATTTACAGCGGAGATTCGTCGAGGACGTCCCCACGACCCGCGCGTTTTCGAAATCGAGTTCGAAATTTCGAACTGCGCGGGCCTGAGGACGGGGGTCCCCCGTGTTGCCATTCCGCCCGCCATTTCGTCGTCGTCGCCGTCATCGGTCAGGTCTCGCCATTGCCATTCTTCTTGTTCTTCTTCATTGAACTTCTCCACCCACTGCTCCTCCTCCTCCTCCATCTTCTTCTTCTTCATTCAACTTCTCTGTGTGCTTGTCTTCCTCCACTTCTCTCCCGCCACTTCGTGCCTTCTCTTCCGCCACCGTCCACCTCCCTCCTGCCACTTCGTTCCTGCTCTTCTGCCATCTCCCGCCACCTCCCACTACCTCTCCTGCTACCTCCCACTAACCCTCCCACTATCTCCCACGTCCCTCCCACCATCCTCCGCCTCCCTCCCGCCAATCCTCCGCCTCCTTCCCGCCACCTCCTACCTCCCCTCTCACCATCTCCCACTTCCCTCTCCCCTTCTTCCACCTCCCTCCCACCATTTCCCACCTCCCTCTCTTTCGCCATCTCCCACCTCCCCACATGCAACCTCCTACCTTCCTTTCGCCACCTCCAACCTCCCGCCCGCCATCTCCCACCCTCCTCTCTCCATCTTCCACCTCCCTCTCGCCATCCCTCACCTCCCCGCCAGTATGGAAAAGGCTGCTGATTCCGGCACATCTCTGCATGCGCAACAGCCCCCCATCACCTTTTTTTTTCTTTCTTGTTTTCTCAATAAAAAATAGCTCGCACGGGTGACCCGTGCAGCTGCCCGCCCGTGCAGCCTGCACGGGTGCATGGCCGTGCCCGCCCGGCCGGGCGGCTCAGGAAGCCTAGGTTTTCGCTGAACTATCACTGACCTGTCACTGTGCTATCCCTGGATTGGAATTTGGAATGTTTGAGGGGGTTAGTAAGCAATTAAGCAATTGTCCCTGAGGTGTCGCTGAATTATCGCTAAGCTGTCATTGTGTTATCGCTGGATAAGATACTACTGGAATCGGCCCGGGTAATTAAGAAACGATTGGAATCGCCCCGGGGGTAAAAAAGTGGGTAAGAACCAAGTAGCCTAGGCAATGGTAAGTTGGTACAAACGGGTAAAAAAGTGGTTAAAAAAATTGGTTCTTACCCACTTTGTTACCCGTTTGTACCAACTTACCATTGCCTAGGCTACTTGGTTCGCCTGGCCGTGCAGCCCAGGGAAGTCGCCCCGGGGGTCACCTGCACGGGGTTGCAGGCAAAAATCAGCTTTTTTTTTTTTTTTTTTGGGGGTGGGCCGTTTGGGGTTTTCTCCGCATGCCCAGAGGAGCTCAGATCCAGGCTCCTTTGTCCTTTCGAATGTTGGCTGTCAAGGTGGGGTGGGGGGGAGGGGACGGGCATGTAAATTGGTTTTCCAAGCGCTAAATGGGTCTCAAGCGGGGTGCCTTAAGTCTTATTCTGTTTTTTTTTTTTTTTTTTTTTTTCCGAATCTGTGATGATTTTTTTATTTTTATTTTTATTTTTATTTTTAATCTGTGAGGAAGTCCGATATCACCCTCCGCCAAAAGTCGTTTGTAACTTTGTATTAGTATAGCAGTATAGCAAAGTCACAAAGAGCTCAACATACAAGAGCGTAGAGAAGCCAATTACAAAGTCGAAACTTGAATTGACAAAGTACAAACAAGACCCGTAGGGTACAAGACCCATCGGTATCCACGTCACAACCACAGTCCCAAGAAGACCCGTCGGTATCCACGTCACAAACACAGTCCCAAGATCCGCCGTTCCTTCCACCAACCTTCCGCACTATCGCTTCCGCCAGCATTCCAAAATGCCGGAGGTCGCGAATAGTGCGCTAACCAAAGAGGTCTAACTTATCTGCACTTACTGTATTTATAGGAACTGTCTCAATCGTGTGCTCTTCACAGATCACTATACTACGAGTGCTCCCAAAAAAATCGAAGGGGTACGTCAATTATCTCGAAGTCCCTCAGATCGCGTGGCCACTATCGGGTCTGCCTGATTTCAGACACCACAGGGCCTACTCCTAACATACTTCCGCAGGTGACAACCATGGATATACCGGTACCTGGTTCAAGTCCCACATACACGGTATTCCATTCAAAAAAGAAAGAAAGAAACCATCCAAACTTCAACATACTGGTACCTGGTTCGAACCCCAAGCACCCGATATTCTATTAGACAAGAAATTACCAATCTTCCTACATACACTTACACACACCAACTACGAACACACCAAACTACCCTGTCGCACGTCAACTACGAACATACCCAACTACCCTGTCCCAATATCGCCCATGACTAGAGTTACCGCCTGTTTCCAAACCTCATCTCGCCGATAGGCAAATCGTCGCAGGATTCTCCCAAAAAAATCCATCGGGAAGTCCTTGATCCTCAGCTCACGTTTCAACGACAAAACTCGACCTGGGATCTCACTCCGAATCGACGTATTCTGGTCGATTCTATGTAGATAGCTGCTCACTGTAGCGCTCTTCTGCTGTTTACTACCCCAAGACAGGTAGGACTGACCACACTGAAATTCTAGGCCGTCGGTACCCCAGATGCTGTTCTCGTCTTTTGACATCTGGATACTTCCCAAGTGCGGATAGGACCGTGAACATTTGATGACACAGCCCAGAAAATCCGTCACTCCAGATCCATCGTCGGTTCTCTTCAAAGTAAGGTTTCTCGGATAACATGACTCAAATTCTTTGAAGACCCACTCCAGGCTTTCGCCAGCCAATGACACAGTGATCAAGATAACGTCGTCCATCAGCCTCATTCCAAACACCTGACGGCCGTACCTACCCAGGCTCCTTAAAAACACATACTCAGAATATGCACACAATTTGCAGGCCAATGGGGGGCTAGTACTCTTCCCCATTGGGATACCCACATCTTGCCGAAGTAGTACACCCGTGGCATGTGTGTAGGTGTGATGCCAAGTCTGTAAATTTCAACGTTCTCCAATGGTCACTTCCTGTGGTAAGACCAAAAGTGGCTCCTCTGCCTCGTGTATTAACTCGCACGATGTCTCTCCCTTTCATAGTATGAAAGTCCAAAATCCAATCAAGGGCACAAATGATATCCTTATGCGGGAGGCGGCTGAACATGTCCTTTATATCAAAGGACTGGACAGTTACCTCCTGCACAGATCCCAACCGACGAATCTTACGATTATCTGCTCCACATCGGGCCGTTAGATGAGATACAGCCTGCAAATTAAAATGATCGCTAACAGGTAGTCTGAACAGCATCAGGTTAAGTCCTTTTGCGACGGCTCTCCCCGTACGGACCATCGGCTCCATGAAAGTGGGGCAAATGGGCCGAAACCGGGTGACGTCCTTGTGTTTAGGCATAATGTATGCCGATCCAATACGCCCGTGCTTATCCCATTTAGCAAAGCCTTTCAGACCCGCTGATTCAATCTCCTCCCGGACTTCCCTCAGAACAACTGATTCGGTAACAGTCATAACCCTATAGCCTGAGCTCCGAATGAACATGTTCATCATGGCATCGTAATACACCTTTGGGCACATAACAAAGGTTTCACCTGGATTACGATCCAGCGGTGCAAGGACCAATCCATCAAAACATCTCTTGGTTTCTTCCAGGACTGACGGAGGTAAGTACGAGGACGAAGCCTGACATGATTCCATCAAACTGTTTGACAAAGATTCGAAAGAAGGACACGGCACCCTTCCTCTGAAGTTTCTCCAACCTTGGAAACCGCTCACAATTTCTTCCCGCAATACTTTCAACCGATCCCCAGTCTGGCTCCTGGGAATATTGTTAGCATTAGCCAACAGAGGGTGATCCACCATATCCGCATTCAAGCGAAATTGCACGTGCCCATCCAACCTTGGATAGGGTAAACCTGCACACTGACAGGTTAGCACACGTCGAGTGGCGTACACTCGGTGATTGTGCAAAATTTCCGCAACTGACTGGTTCTTCTGCCAGACAATTCGGGTTTTCTTACGTGCGCGTTGCAAGAAGCAGACAGGCAGGTCACACTCCATTAATGCATCATTCACAGTCTTACATAATTCAGATAGCTTAATCCTATTGTCAAACTTGACTTTAATCAACAGATCGGCACTCAGACTGAGGTCAAACTTATTCAAGAAAATCCTCGACACCAAGCGTCAGAGATATTTCCGAGTTGACTTCCGACTGTAGTCTTTCACCACACGATACAAACGAAGCAATGAGCGCATATCCCATTTGTACAGCTTACAAAGATTACGAGGGTTCTTAAGCATGCCAACGAGCACATGCTTCAAATATCGGCACTGAGGTTTCCAAATTCTCAGATACTGGATGCACACACAACCCCCATTCTCAAAACAAGCTTTACCCTCCTTCAGTGACCGACTTCTCCC